AAAAAAAAAAACACACACACACACAAAAAAACAATGGGCCTCAAAAACAGATAGGTTATTGTCATTTAAGACCTAGTTACCTTCCCTGCCTTTGATCTGTAAATGTACAACCTACACATTTGTGTATATGGATAAATATTTGCATCTTCATTTTTAAAAACACATACAGCAAAAACCTAGTCACCTTTAGAGGTGGGGGCGCTGTATGGAGGTAGACACTAAGTTTGCAAACTATAGCACTGCTTTGGTCTGTGCCCCTCCCCAGATTCATATGCTAAATCCTAAGGCCCACCGCGATGGTTTTAGGAGGCGGGGTCTTTGGGAAGGGATTAGGTCATGAGGGCTGGGCCCTCAAGACACGGGTTAGTGTCCCTCATAATAAAAGGAGCCCACAGAGCTCCCTAGCCCCTTCCACCATGTGAGGATACAATGAGAAGTGTGTGACCTGGAAGAGGTCTTCATCCGAGCACGCTGGCACCCTGACCTCAGACTTTCAGCCTCTAGAACTATAAGAAATTATCTTCTGTTGTTTACAAGCCACCCAGTCCGTGGCATTTTGTTGTAACAGCTGAAAGGACCAAGGCAAGCACTTGGTGTGTTTCTGCACACAACACCCTTAGCTTAACAAGAAGGGACTGTGTTTACAAGTGAGGAAGGCTTTCATGCTGAGCAAGTAGGTATGGGCTTAGGTCTGGCCATCACCCATAGAGACAGAAGAGGGACTGGCACGTGAGGCAGAATGGGGCAGAGGAGATAAAATGGTGACTGACAAATTCTGGATACATTTGAAATAATGATGAATGCCATTGTTCCATACTGTGGTCAGTGTTGTTGACTCCTTCAGATTGGTGTCACTCAACATCCGAACTTCTACCACTGGAAAAGCCAGGTGTTTCTGGCTTCCCCTATATTCACCGAGTGGGAATCATTCACTAGTTTTCCTACAGAGCAGTAATAGCTGGGCAACAGCCCCAGCCTCTGTAACAGTCTCCTGCATTTTCCACAGCTGGACTCCAGCCACATCTTCCTTCCTCAGCTACTCTGCAGTTCTGGATTTTGTGAGTCAAAGTTTGGTCTGCTGGCAAGGATTTGACTTGAGCCAAACCAAAAGAAATGGACTTAAATTTGAGTTAAAAGAGGAACGATTTGGAATTGATATAAAGGAGGAATTCTTGATAAACATCTATCTTTAGATTCAGAGACTGATGCCCTGATGACGTAGGCCAGCATTTTGTGACCTGCATGTGACTAGGAGCATTTAGGCTGCCCCTGCTTTAATCTCATGCCCAGCTAGTGCCATCCCACTTCTCCCTCTCACACACACACACACACACACACACACACACACCCAACTCCTGAAGCACCAGTTTATAACATAAGTCCGACAGAACATTTCACAAGGAAACAAAAGGAGTAAACGGAAAACACAGAGCCACATTCCATTGCCATTGGCATCTCTGCTTTCTCCCAACGTCCTCTCTCAATCTCCTTTCCCGCCTCCCCTGCCATCGCCCCCTACTCACTCCACTCCACCCCCCAGACCTCCTCTCAAAATACCACTGCTTTGCACAGTCCCCTCAACCAGAAACCAGCAGAACAACAGTCAGCACAATAAAAGACCTGTAGTTACCCAGCCTGGCCATGATGTCTCAGGGGTGAGAGTGGGGCATAGGTACCCCCATCCCAAGGGGAGCCCCAAAACATGAGGCTGAGTTGACAGATACTGAGACCTTTCTTCTGTTCTCAACTGTGGGGCAGGTCATGGCATCCCAAGGGTCCCTCAACCAGCCAGGAAACGTGGTTTAGGCCTCTACTGAGCTAAGGGCAGGAGGCTGGCCTTGTGGTCTCGGGTTGACCCCTCACAGCTGATGGTTCTATGACTGACTTTCTTGGTGAATTAAAGAAATTGTGTTACCCAGAATACAAGCACCTGGTAGGAGCCAGGACACTTTCCCTGCAGAAGGAAGTCGCTGTGAAAACCAAGAATAAAGGGAGTAAGAACAAGCCAAAACAAATAACAGCAGTGTTTAATAGAAAATGCTTGGAACCAGAAGACACAGTTTCTTGTTTTGCCTGGCCTCAGACTGGCTGTTCTGGGCCTTGGGCAAATCAGTCAGTTTTTCTGAACTTCTGCTTCCTCCACTGGAAGATGGAGATGCCCTTTCTTCTTTGTAGGGGTTACTGGGAGCTAAAAGGAGATGAGACATAGGAAAGGACATTAAGGGAGACAAAAGGCTTAGCCATGAAATGAACACGCTGACCTTGCTTCTTTTCAGCCTGATGCAAAGGCTCTAGGACACAGGAACGCCAGCTTTTCTCATGCAAGCTCTTATGGTTCCCGACATGTCGGTACTCGTGGAAAGCTTACTCATTGTTTCAAAAGAAAGCTCCTTTTATTGTGAAATTGCGAAATCCTCGCCCTAGCAAAGCATTATAGCTAACAGATCCCTGATATGAATGTCAAGACTCTCCCTAAAAGAATGTCCAGGAGAGGTGGTTTCAAGGGACAGATGAGCTTGAAGGGGCAGAACAGCTGGCGGTCAGAATGGAGGGAGACCTGCTAGACACATAGCCAGGCCCAAGGTCAGGAGTCCCAGAAAGAAGCCACAAGTGTCTCAAGAGGGATGGTGTGGTGCTGCAGGAAGAAGGGAAGAATAACAGCTCATCACCAGATCACACCAGAGTTTTGAAAGAGCTTATACATTCGTTTGTTTCATTGATTTCCCAAAAGGACCCTATGTTGTATGCATTACGTTGACTCCCATGAAATTGTCATATCGTCTCAGAGGTTAAGTGACTTCCATGAGGTCACACAGTCAGTATTAGAGCATGGCGCAGAAATGGGATGCGGTGGTTTGTGAAGTGAGGGTATGTGAATTTTTTTCCCCCGCTACTTCTCCAGGACTTTGCTTCTCACTGCCATATGTTACTAAAGACAGATGTGAGTCTAGAGGAAGGAATAAGTTGCAAATGGCATTTGGAGGTCCAATGGGGCCACAATTTCAGTGGCAAGACAAAAGAATAACATCCTTTCAAAAATCCCTGACTCCTTGTTTGTCAC